GAGCCACACGGGAGAACCCGGCCGGCCGGCGGACGCGGCACAGCCGGCAGGGCACCTACCTCTCCCCCCGAGGGCCATGGTGTCTGAGGCGGGCGGCTGCTGCCTGCTGGATGCGCCCCCGCCTTCCTTCCAGGCTGACCCGAGATGCTTCTCAAGCTTGGCCACCTGCTTCTGCAGCTGCAAAACCTCCAGGTGCACCTGGTCCAGCTCGTGGGGAAGCTCTCGCTGGATGGCGTCCATGTCCAGGGGCCCCCGCAGCACCTGGGAGACCGTTTTAGAGTCAGAGTTAGGAAGGAGGACGTCGGCTCTGGAGCAGATCTTTGGGGAGGACAGGAAAACCAGAAGGACACAGGCCCGTCAGTCTCCTCTCTGGCTTAATTCCACCACCCGCAGACCCACACCCCCACCACCAAAGCCGCTGTTCTTCTGGCCCCCCTGGGCCAGGCCCCGAGGCAGCTCCACTCACGCCCCCAGAGTGGACACATGGGGACGTGGGCACCTGCAGCAGCGCCCACACACTGGACCCCAAGGCTGGTCGGGGAGGGTCTGTGCACGGACGGGTCTGGACAGAGGCCTCAAAACCCTTTTCCTGGGCTCCAGTCCCGGGAGGCATGGACAGACGAAGTCCTAAGCCTGTCCCAAGGGAGAGGACGACCGGCGAGCAGACAGAAGGCCGAGGTAGACCGAAGGGGCAGGAGAAGCCTGGCCGGGGGCACGAGCTGGGGGCTGCAGGGTGGCCAGGAGACCCCGACGCAGGGGCCCGGCCACAGCCCGGCCATCCCTGCCTGCAGCGCCTCTCCCGACGACGGGGGGAAGGACGGGCAGGGGCACAGGAACACCTTTCCGCACCCTCGACGGGCCCGTTCGATTCTCAGGGAGAGAAACGTGACCTTCCTGCTCCGGGGACTCCTACACAGGACTCGCGGTGAGTGTCTCGTTCTTTGTCACAGACACACCGGAAAAGGTGACCATCTGATACACAGACACTGGCAAGTAAGAAACAAGTGGCACTTCTAGGCGGGCCGTGTTTCTCAGGTAACCTTCATGGGCACCAAGAGAAAGTCACAGCTCTCGTTTCACCGTTGACTTCCTGTTTGGCGACGGTGGGGCAGAGCTGGGAAAGGCCACAGACCTGAAGACCACCCTCCCCTCACGTGTGGCGGGTGACGGAGGTCTGCAGCCCTACAGACAGCAGCAGGAAAGGGGGCGCACTCGCCTCCGTCACAGCAGCACAAACGTGCTTCACGAACCACGACAGGGCGTCTGACTTCCGCGCACGGCCTGCTCCCTGCAGGGGATGGAGAGCTCAGTGTGGTCTGCACCAGCCAGGAGCTGTGTCACGGAAGACGCAGGGCCTACGGGATGGTGTTTCATGTACTCGTGGACTTAAAAGGACATGTGAAAATTGCCTCACGGGAAACACAGGTGCAAAGGCGGCAGGACGTGTGATCCCGCAGCACCAGCAGTGAGAACTGCGCTTCCAAGGGCTCTGTCGAGACTGTGAGGACGAGCCAGGGACCAGGAGAGGGATTCTGCAAAGCGCACGTGCCAAGGGCCTTGTGTCCAGGACATGCCAAGAACTCTGGCAACTGAACAATAAAAAGACAGACAACCCGGTCAGAAGCGGGCAGAGGACATTCACGGACGTTTCTCCAAAGATGACAGATGAATGGCCAATAAGCACGTGAGAAGATGCTCAACGTCATTTTCCACCAGGAAAATGCAAATCTCACCGCGTCAAGGTCCACCTCGGGCCTGCGGGGACAGCTGCAGTCCGGAGGACCCAGGGGCCGGCGCAGGTGAGGACCACTCGCTGGAAGCTCCCCACGCGCAGCTGGGGGCGGAGCGCTGCAGAAACCCTTGGCGGGTCCTCAGAAGTTAATGACAGAACTACCCTGCAACCCGGCAGCTCCACCCACGTGTGCACCCGGACACCTGCGCAGCCCGTCCATGGTGCCCCAGGGCCCAGCAGTTTGGGGGAATGACAGCGCGGGGTGTCCTCCTTTCTCCAGAGGGAAGAGGCTGGGACACGGGCTACACGTGGATGAGCCTCAAGGACCGGACGCTGGGTGAAGTGAGCAGGTCACAGGCGGACAGATTCTGCATGACTCCACGTGGAGGCTCCCGGAGGAGCAGGTGCAGAGACAGAACGAGCAGAGGGGCCGGGGCTGGCGGGGGGAGCGGGGCGTCGGCGTTGAGCGTGGACAGGGTTTCTGTGCAAGTGATGAAAAGCTCTGGGAACACAGCAGTGACTACACTCGCCATCACTGAACTGTACGTGTGAAAATGGTGACCTCTGTTGTGGACGTTCTGCCACAGCTAAAAACCCCACTGAAGTAAGCGCTACCGTGAATTAGCAGCAGCAAGGCGCGGGCTGTGGCGCCCGCTGGAGCCTGTCCCGCTGGCCCGTCTGCACCGGAAGCAGAAAGGCAGCGTCCGCCGAGGGCTCCAGACGGCAGCGGGGACTGCGCTCGGCACTCATGCCGTGGGCTCCCGCAGGGCTCGGGCCCGGGGACCCGCCAGGGCAGGCAGAGACCGGGCTCCGAGTGCTCGACCACAGGCGCTGCCCCGGTGTCCCCCAGGCTCCCTAGCCTCACCGCGTGCCCTCCAGGAACACACAGGAGGGGAAGCGGCTGCCCCTACCATGACCCCTTCCTGGGAGGGACCCTGAGGCACAGAGAGGTCATGGCCAGGTCCCTCTCTGGTCAGGAGACCCCCAGCTTGAGCATCAGGGTGGCCGTACCTTCTGTCTGAGTCGCGCCACCAGGAAGTTCAAGAGATGTGCCCTGTCTCGAAGCCGCCTGAGCGCCAGCCCCGTGGATGCACCATGGCCCAACGCAGCCCCTCCTGCAGGAACAGCAGATGAGTCAGACACATCTCCCCGAGCCCAGGGCCTCCCCACCAACCTCCGCGGAGCTGGGCATCCTGTCACCAGGGTGCAGGCGTGGCCTCTTGGCTCACTGTCCCCCAGGCCTCGCGGGCATGGTGGGGTCCCAACGAAGACTGAGAGGTGCTGCCCGTGAAGAGTGCTCCCTGCGCTGGGAAAGCGGGACTCTGCAGAGAGAAACCCCAGCCTGCCCAGCTGGTGTCCAGCAGGGGCAAGTCTGCACGACCGCCAGTCGCTTGGCTGGCTGGGGTCACAGGGCTCGTGTGGCCCACGGCTCAAAGAAGGAATCACAGAGGCCGTCAGAAATTTCGACCCGAATTATTGCAAAATCATGACTATTAAAACTTGAGGAATGCATCTAAAGCGTCCTTTCAAAACTACTTATTACTTATTTAGGCGTAGAAGCTTATTTTAGAAAAGAAGACAAATGAGCTGAACATTCATGTCAAAAGTGAGGGGGAAAAGACAACCAGAGTAGAAGGAAGGACGGGACAAAGCCGACGCTGAATGCTGCGGAAACGGGAAGCTGAGTGCGGCAGGCGGCAAGACCAGCGGCGGTTCTTCGCAAAAGCCAGGTCCCGGGAGAGGCCGGCCAAGAAACAGGGACAGAGACAGCGCAGCAAACGGAAGGGCTGTAGCTCTAGAGCCCGGAGGCTCTGAAGCCCTGCGGAGAACACACTCCCATAAGCAACTTTACGCCGAGGTTTTGGAAGTTTAAGTGAAACAGACAACTTTCTAGCAAAACACAACATCAAAAAATGACACAGAAAGGCAGGTCTAGACAGCCCTAAACCTGTGAAAAGCCCGAACTCAGTTTAAAATCTTCCCACAAGGAGAATTCTCTGCCCAGCTGGTTTCACGGTTGAAGTCTGTCCACTGGTTATGGAAAAATTAACGTTAGGTCTAACACGAGCTTTTCCAGAAAGCAGAGAAAGAGGGGCCTCTCCCAACAGGTCTGCGAGGCCAGAACAACCCCGACTCCGAGCCCCGATGTGGACGCCGCGAGGAAGCGGAGGCGCAGGCCAGCCTCACATGTGAACATGGATGCGCTCGTTCCCAGCGAAGCGCTCGCGGAGCACACCTCTCTGAGTTTACTCCGGAAACACAGCGCTGCTTTCACATCGCAGGCCAGTTTAAGCCTCTCATTCCGGACGAGGTGAGTGTGCCCCACCCGCCCTCCCCTAAGACAGCGGGAGCCCCAGACACCACACGCTCTGCTCCGGGAGGAGGTTCCGGATGGTGAGGGAAAGCAGGCAGGGAGGCTGGGAGCTCGGGCTTCAGGGGCCGGGCCGCAGGGAGTCCCCCCCGGCCCGTCTTCCTGCACAGGCCAAAGACACCACTGAGCTGAGACCAGGAAAAGGGAGCCCCGCAGCTGCCGGCGGGACAGAAGCAGAGCTGCAAAAGGCTCAGCGAGGGCCGGGGCCCCACGACGTGATCCTCGACGTCCATGGCAGAATCCAAGCTCCTCAGTGGATCAACAGCAAGGAAAATCTCCCCTTGAATGAAGAGACAACAGCAAGGTGACTGTGGAATTAAAGCTGCCCCAACAGGCAATCTGACACACCCTTAGGGCAAGTGGTAAAAACAGAAGTTTCAGCAAAGGAATGCAAGATACAAAGGGAAAAAATGGAAATTTTAAACCTGAAATGTTGTAAAAATCTCACTGGATGGGCTCAGTAGGAGAACCTGAAGATACAGACATTCTCTAGCCTGAGAACGGAGAGAACACCGGGACAGACACCGGGGTCCAACGCTCTCGCCATTCGAGCTCCAAAAGGAAAGAGAGGAGCTGTAAAAATACCTGAAGAAGTGATGCTTGAGACCTTCTCAAACCTGGCCAAAGACAAACACCTTCAGAGTCAATGTCCAAACGGATGAGCCAAGGAACCTACGCCCAGACCGCCATCAGCCGATTCTGAAACCACAGACAAACTCTCGAGAGCAGCAGAGCTAAGTGACGCTGGATCTGTGGGGACAAGGACCCCAGCGGCATGGGCTTCTCAGAAGGAACCGTCGCCCGAAGAAAACGGTGCAGTTTAAGTGCTGAGAGCAAAGAACTGTCAACTCATCATTTTACACCAGTGACTGCACCCTTCGGGGGTGAAGGTGAAGAAGTCTCAGATGAAGGAAAAACCAAGGGAGTTTGTCACGGCAGCCCTGCTGGAAGGAACTGCTAACCACAGAACTTCAGACACAAGGCCATCTGGCAGCCTGGAATCAGGAAAGAGTCGAGGAGAAGGATCTGGGTAAGAGAACGGACCGTACTTTTCCTCTTGAGGTTTAAAATCATGCTGGACATCGAAAGCAAAAATGGAAACCCTGCCTGATTTTGCCACGTGCGGAGACGCAGCAGTTGCGGCAATAAGGGCGGGGCGGCCTGCCTGGTGGTGCCCCCACGCTCCCCCTCAAACTGCAACATGCTGACACCAGCTGACTGTGATAAGTATACTGTGGTCTCTGGAGCAGACACTGTTTGCAAAGCACCCAGGGAGACACACTCAAAACCGCAGATGAATTAAAGTGGAACGCTAAAGCACACCCAAGCGCCTGGCAGGGAGCAAAGAGGAAACGGCAGACTAGGCTCACGACGCAGCACCAGCCTCCGGGTGCAGACGGTCCCGGCGGTTCGTCGAGGTGTCAGCAAGATGGGTTTAAAAACTGGCCTAACTAGTTGCTGCCTACGAGAAACTCCCTTCGAGTGTGAGAGGGAGGTGGGTTAAAGGTCAGTGGCAGATGATGACACACAGGCAAACGCCTGTCAGAACAGCGCAGGGTGGGGGGCCGGCCCGAGAGGAGGACCTGGGAGGAAGCAGAGCGTCACAAACGCACGTGAAGGTCGGCTCGCCCAGGAAACGCAACGGCTCTAGACAAGCACACGCCTAACGGCAAAGCTTCCAAACACACAGAGCAGAGCCCGACAGAGTCGTGAGAGCGAGCAGAGGTCTGTGTTACAACAGGAGCTGAGACGGATATCCTTAATCTGACTGATTTTAAAAAAGTTAGTATTAAATCTAACAGTGAAATGTTGAACGTTTTCCTCAGAATCGGGAAGCAAGCCAGCTGTGATCAGCGTCTCGCTGGAGACTCCACCAGGGGAAGTAACACCAGAGAGAGAAGCAGGAGACACCAGCGTCGGGGCGGAGGGGGCTTCCAGAACTTAGGACAAGACGACGAGGAAGCTGGACGCCCCGCTCGCCCGCCTCTCCGTCCTGGCCCACAAACCACGCGGGGCACCGGGCTGCCTGGTGGGGCCGTTGGCGTTCGGGGGGCCTGGCACGGAGGGCGGGGCCCCTGGGCGGCAGAAGGGCCTCCACGGGGGGCCGCGCGCACCTAGGCACCGGAAGCGGACGGAGTTGGGAGCCAGGCTTCGGCTGTTAGAGGAGGAAACCAAGAGCAAGGAGGAAGGAGGCCAGAACGGGCCCTGTGGTGCTGGCCTGACCACGGAGCAAGTGACCGACCAGTAAGCTTGTTGTAAATTAAGGCCTTCGGCGATGGAGCCCACCATTTACGTGGAGACAGGGTGAGGGGTCGGGACGGTGGGCCGAGGGGCACCGGGCCCTGGCTGCCGGCCCTGGGGCAGCGGCACAGCACGTCGAGACAAGAACTCTCACCGGTGGGGTCTGCGGGGGCCGGGACACTGGGCTGGAGGCCAGCACAGGGCACGGACGTCCTCGAAGGGTCTGTTACGTCCTCCAGTTGTGCTTCCAGTGTTTTGAATTTATGCTTTAGATTCTGCATTTCTGCTTCAAGGGCCAGAACGTAACCTTCCAAAAAAACCAGTAAACACAGGGCGCATGTGTTTACACCCTCGCCCTTCACCCTCAATCTGCGCCCTCCCCGCCCGCCCCTCAGGCCGCCCTGCTGCCCCCAGACAGAGCGCAGGGTCCAGAGTCATGCTGGCCGGGCTCCCCAGGGAGGCCCAAGCACGAGCAGGGGGCGCCTCCTGCTCCCCAGTCCCTCGGGACACAGCAGCTGTGTCCCGAGCGCAGCCGTCCTAGCAGGCGCCGTGCCCCCTCGCTGCTCCTTCCACTTATCGATAAAAAGTCTTGCATATTAACACCTGACTTCAGACCCCTTCCCTGGGAGGAAAGGCAGCCGTCAGACGTTGCAGGAATTTATTACAGGGGATGTTCTCGACAAAACACCACACGAAGCCTGTTTTCGACCCCGAGGAGCCTGGCCCTCACCCTCCCCGTCCCCCTTCTGCTCACCGGGAATGGGGGCGTCAGCTGCTGCCTGTGGGCCAGGTGGGTCTGCTCCTGAGGTCTCCCCTCCTAACCGGGCAGAAGGAAGAACCTGATCACTTAGAGCTTCCATTTCTTTCCTCATCTGCGCAATAGCGTTCCGCAAGCTTCTGTTCTGCTCCTGCAGTCGCTGGATCTCACTAGATGGAAAACTTGCACTTGTGTCTTCTTCACAATGCCTTGGAAACATCTGTCAAATACAAGAGGAAAAAGAAAGAGAAGAAAAGAGAAAGAAAGCACAAAGTTACAACCAAGGACCAATGGTTCCCCATGCGTCTGAGGCCAGCTGTGTCTTCCCGCTCCTCCGCCCCTGCCCCCCTTCTGTCCTCGACGTGGGGCAGGTTGACAGAACTACAAGAAAACTCTTTTTATTCTAGGTTTTGTAAAGACTCTAGACCACTGCTTTTCAAAACAACTTTTATTGGGGTTTTGGGGGCCCTTCCTTTTTGGTCAAGAAGCCATTATTCATCCACTAGGGAGGCTATGATAAAAAGACACGGCCAGGCGTGGGCGAGGGGGAGGGGGAAACGTGGCCTTGCGCACCGTAGACAGTAAAGGTTGCAGCTGCCCAGGGTGCGGGTGGTAAAGTGAGACGTGGTGCGGCTGTTGCAGAAGGCGGCCCCGGTCCCCACACGGTCCACAGAGCCAAGAGCGCCAGCAGGTCCTCGCCCAGGGGCAGACCTCAGAGAGCCGATGACTGTGCACGTGTTCAGAGCAGCCAAAACGTGGGAACACTTGGGCGCCCGCCAACATGCAAACGATCAGTAAACCGTGACACAAAGGAGTGTTCTTCAGCCAGGGAGAGGAAGGGCGCTATGACACATGCCACGCGCCCAGTACAGGCGAGGGCTTCAAGGCAGCTCCCGTAAATATGCTCAAGGACTTAAAGAGAAACATGAACGTAAAAAGAAGAGAAATGGAAGAGACAAAAAGAATCGGGGGAGGGTCTAGCTCAAGTGGGAGAGTGTGTGCTCAGCAGGCACGAGGTCCTGGGTTCAATCCCCAGCACCTCCTCCAGAAATAAAGAAACCTAATCGTCTGCCCCCCTCCCCGAAACAAAAACAAAAAATCAAACCAAACAGAAAAAAAGAAGCAAAAAGCATCTTCAGGGATGAAAACACATTATCTGAGAGAAACTTCCCTGCACAGGATGGGACTGAGAGCAGATCGGACACCACAGGAGAAAAGGCGGGAGAAGGCGGGTGTGCAGAGCAGCGTGAAGGAGCCCAGGAGGACCGGGGCAGCAGAGCCCTCGTGACCCGGGCACCGAGGGGACAGAAAAGCACCAGAAACTCGTCGGCAAAAAAAGTGTCAAACCTGATGAAAACCTAGGTCCACAGATCCAAGAAGGTTGACAAACCTGAAGCAAGATGAACACAAAGAAGGTCACCCCAAAGGGTCTATCGCAGCCACGCTGCTGGAAAACCACGACAAAGGAGACCCTCCCACGTGCTACGTCACGAGCAGAGGGCAAGCGAGAGCCTGGCCCGTTCTCACGGTGAGCCCTGGAAGATGCTGGAACAGTGCAACCCTGTCTCTGCGGGTCCAGCCCGAGCGAGCAGCCCTTGGAAGAGACGCAGGACAGACTCCTGCCCTGGAGCGCGAGGGAGCCGTGGACGGGGACCTGCCCCTGGCTGCAGAGGCGCAGGGACCAGATGAGCACTGTGAACCCGCGGACTGCAGACGCCGCCCGCCCAGAACCAGCCTGGGGTCAGGGACAGCGCCGGGAGACAGCTCTCGCCATGACGCACATTAACTGCCGGCCCCAAGTAGCACGTGTACTCAGGGCTGAGGCTTCAGAGGCTCAAGGTATCAAGCAGATGGAGCACAGAGTCACCCTGACTGGCTGAGGTGCAGACTCGCCCTCGCTGTGCAGGGTCCCAAGGGGCCACAGAGACCTGCCTCCAGCGCTGGCTCTCCTTGGGCCGACTCCCACAGCTGCCACCCAGAGCGGGTTCAGAGAGCCCTCCTCCTGGGGGGGGCTTGGAGGAGAGGGGCCCTCACCTGTGCCTCCTCCTTGGGGTGGAGCCCGCGTGCCCTCAGCGCCTGCACTGCCTGGTCTCTCTCTCGGGTCATAGCCTTCAGCGCTGCCTCCTGCTCACGCAGCACCAGCTCTGTCTCCTGGAGCTTGGCTGCCTCCTGGGAAAAAGGTCGACTCAGTCCATCTGGGGCATGGGAGGGTTACGAGGGAGCAGTTGCCCAGCCCTTTTCAGGGTTTCCCCCGGCCCCACGGGGTTTTCCCCCCCCTACCCCCGTTTTCGAGACCCTTTTCGCCCCAACGGGCCCACCTACCC